ACATATATATATATATACATTAAGAGCATACAATTAACGTTTCTATACACACAGTTGGACGATGTTGGTTAAATTAGGTTTGGTCTGTATATGGCGCAGGTCACGTAGGCTGGGCGACAACTCTCAGGAAGTGTGATGATTTGGTACGCGCAGAATTGCTGATGATTGATCACCTCGATGAATCTATTAAAACACCTATATATCGATCATAATGCTTCTATCTCTTTCATATTGAAATAAATGGATTTTTCATACATGTACATTTATCCACGAAAAAAACATTCTCGTTTGATGTATTATCTCGAGACGAACACAGTCCAAGGTGATTGAACATACTTTTATTCCATATATTGATATACTATTTGGGGTCGGCTATTTATAGCATGCTATTGACCATGCCCTCTATTTTTTATGGTAATGTATAGTTACTAGTATATCATATTTAACACTATTGTATATACATGGTATACATTGTTTGTAAAAATAATGCTTGTTTCCTGCGGCCCGAAGAGATGGTGCGCACAGCGCACTTTGCAGTATTAAAAAAATTGTTGTGTTTTTAATGAAATAACAAAAATCTGGCTGGATATATCAGCTAAGCGCCGTCCAAACAATATGTACGTCTTTGTACGTCAACGAACGTGGCAAGAATTTTTTAAGTGCAGCTTTCATAATACAGTTTCTTGACGTTTAATACAGACCACACCTATTGTAGAGATGCAGAAGTAGCTTTCATGGTGAATAAGAAGCGAGAGAAATACTTTGCGGTTATACCCTGGGCCGGGAATGTGTGTTGTAAATGTTTAAAAATAGAAACATGACGTTTTCATATAGAGCGCGTCTACGATGTCTATGCTGCCTTATCTATGGCGTAAGGATCATTACTAAAAAAAATTCAGTGGCTTGTTTCTGCTATATCTTCGGAAAATTTTGCATGCTTCTGCCTTTTTGAAGGTAAAAACCTATTTGCAGAAGTCTGTTGTTTCAAACTTCCTCAGGCTGCAAATATCTGTCTACTCTGGTATCATCTGAGGGTATCATAAGGACATCTATTTTGAGTATTTCTAGTTTACAGAGCAGATCGTTCTTGCATCATGTTCACATGTGTGTGTGGACTGTGGACGGCTGGACAACCCTGGACTCGTTGGGAAGGATTCAAAAGAGAGCAAAACAAAGATGCACCAGTGAATTATAAATTTTACATTACAGAAATCAACCCCTTAGAATCTACATCTAACCTCGGACTCGGGACTTGTTCATTTATATCCAGTCACCAATCATTCTCTAATAAGAGTACTGGGTATAAGTCAAAACAAACACAAAACAATCACCTGACCTATCAGTTATCACTCCAGTTTTTTTAATTACCACATCATACCAATTACCATGAAATAAATATTACTAGTAGGCCACAGCAATGTATGAGACTATGCATGAAGTATTTACATATGAGCAATTTACAACAAGCGTAGTACGGTTAATAGTAGCGTACAATGGGGCTATATATTGGCTGGTGGTGCACATTTTTACAACAGAATATGCATCCCCTCTTCCAATCGCGAAGGTGGTTGGCTGCTTGCATTGTTCACAGAATCATTGTGTACAATTTTGCATTGTTCACTGAATCATTGTGTAGGTTGACAATGTTTATTCTTATTTTAAAACAATTACGTAGTCTTTTATATATATATATATATATATTACGTTTTAAATCGTGACGCGAATATATTTTTAAAAAGTAAAAAAAAAGACTCAGGCTGGGCTCAGAGTTCACTGTTCAGACGCCTCAGGGCTCAGAGGCTCAGAATGAGAAGATTCAACAGTTTTTTTTGGTAAATACATACCAAAAATAGAACACAAAAACAAGCATTTACTATTTAATCCATATTTAGCCTTCAACCATGTATGTAAGATAATTTTATTTACAATGCTTTGATATTTTTTAACAAAATTTAAACACTTTTTATAAAAACAAAACATTCGCGTGTGTTCATTCTAAAATCTACTAGTTGAAATTCAGAAATTGACATTTGTGCTATTTCTCAAAATATAGATCTACGTAAGATTGGGATTATGTATGTATGTAAATGGTATTTTTCAAACTGTATTTAGAAGTGTAGAGTAGAGAGTACACTAGTCACGAGATATTTAGAGGCTAAGCTATGCAAAGCTATTGGCTCTAAGCTACAAACAAAACCCCCCCCCCCCCAATAATCAGCCTTATATTAAGAGTTAGTAGGCATTTGTATATTTAAAAATTGTAGCATTGCTATGTAAACTGTATAATTATTTATTATAAAAAAACAGCTTGAACCAGAAATTCGAAAATTGTGTTCCATACATAGTGTTTTACATTTTCGCTACTTTTATTTGACCCGAATCTAAAAAAATATGTTCTCCACAAATACGATGGAGAAATGAGATATATCCGGCATCTTATTGAAATTTTATATTTTCATCCCTATGTATAGCCAATGGTATCCTACTTCCAATTAGAAGGTTGAACAACTGCACATGGACCGATTCCCAGTTTCCTGCCATTTTACGGTTTACCACCATAGCCCAAGGGATTTTTTTTTGAATTTGTTCGTGGTAGCCCAAGAGATATTTTGGAATTTATTGATGGCAACTTCGAGGTACATATAGCAAAATCTAGACTAGAGCATGCTAGATAAATACATAATTCCAACAAGCGATTCGCTATAAAGACCAGGGCTTCATTTCTATCCACCTTGATTAGTTAAAATGTGATATACCGTCACTCTAACCATTGAACCCTCGGGTCAATTTGTGCCGGAGTATTTTTTTCGTAGATTGGGGTCATTCAAGAAAAAAACATTTTTGTTTTGATGATTTTTGGGAGTGATTGTTTTTTGTGCGTTTTTGGATTTGTTTTCTTAGAAAAACAAACAAAAAAATCCTCCAACAAAACAAACCCACCGCATTTCAAATCAAAATTTATTTTGCCGTGCGAGTGTACATATGTAACACATGCAGTTTGAACTTTAAAGGATGTCGAGAGTGGAAACCCGAAATCTATTTTAATTTCTTGTGTAATACAAACTGTACATAATTTTGCATGCATTACATCTGCTTGTGAGTCAGCGATTCGGATGTGATTGCTGCTACAGAGGCAGCGAGACACAGCATAGACAGAATAGCAGATCTGAATGAAACCCTGTCTATGCCTACTTCATGTATTTGGACGCATTTCTACAAAACAACTGTATATAAACAACGTATGTATAAAGTGTATCATAGGAGCAGAAATTCACACACAACACTTTGCAACTATATGATAGGTATCCGATTTTATTAGCCGACCAATTATTAATATATAGCACCATATATAGTAGCGGAAGTCATTGAGGATTAGATGGAAATTAAATAAATTGTGCAGTGTAGAACTGTAGATTGAAATTCTGTTTGTGACTGTGCAGTTTAAACTGCACATAATTTAGTCTGCCTATAGTGCACCAGGGAAACACATAATGCACGGCAAAACAGTACTGAGTGAATATGTACATTTATTCCTATTTCAACTTGAACGTACAACTACTACCATACACAACTTACTATACTCAAAACCACGTACGATGGCAGTTCAGAGCAATTTCCAAATTACATGAGTACTTGCCGAACCATAATCAGATTACGCTGCTGAACCATGATTAGATTCCTCTATCACAAATACATATAAATAGCGGTAGGAGCAAAGCAACAAATATGCGAAGTCCAGTCCGTGAGAGAAAATAAACGGCTAAAAAGAATCAGTGAAGTTTTGCAGTGTAGAGATGTAAGTTGCGATTTGGTTGTAGCACGAATTGTGCATGAATTATGTAACTGTAAAAACATCTCAAAACACTGTGAGATGTACGACGAGCTAGCCTGTTACATATTATAGAAGTATGTCGAGCGTAAAAAGATTGACGTACATCAGGATGTGGGTGTTTTTAGTCTAAGACCATCGTTCAGGGTTCTCTGAAGCACTTACAGCGCACGTGGTATGTCATCGCGGGTTCGTACCATAAAATAGCAAAGTAGAATATGTTACTCAGTAGCTAGTCTGCGTGTGTACAACATCAGTCAGGGGAACAAATCGATACTGAGAGAAAGGTACTGAGAGAGTTGTGATACTAGGGATGCACAAACCTTGTGACTCTTGAAGGATGAAGATAATTTGCAGATGAGATTAAACTTGCACCATTAAAAGTCACATAAAAAGCAGCTGTTGTGATATTCAATGTACTATTAATACAGCTTATGAACGCTTAACTTTACGACAATAATAGGGCCACTGTCTCTTAGTGACAGCAGTGAGGGATCGCATATTTATCGTCGTCATATCGGTTGTCCACGCTGAAAGCCACATAAAAGCGTATTTGCAAATTTTTTAATTTTTAATTTTTCTATTATATACTGTGTAAGGATCGCATTTTAAGTTCAGAATAACTATAGTGTTAATGGTCCTTACTTACAGCAGTGTGAGGTTGCACACTTGTCGTCATCATATCGATTACAGCCTTTGCCTTTGTTAATCGACTTGTCCAGGCTTTTACACTTGCCCTGATTGGTATCATCAGAACACGTCATCTCGTGGTCACCATTGTCCTTATCATGCTCTTCCTTATGTTCCTCCTTGTGCTCCTCTTCCTTGTGGTCTTCCTTGTGGTCTTCCTTGTGGTCTTCTTTGTGGTCTTCCTTGTGTTCCTCCTTGTGTTCCTCTTTGTGTTCCTCCTTGTGTTCCTCTTTGTGTTTCACTTCCTTGTGTTCCTCTTTCTTGTGCTCTTCCTTGTATTCTTCCTTGTGTTCCTCCATGTGATGCTCATCCTTGTCGTGTTCCTCCTTATCATGGTCATCCTTGTCATGGTCATCAGCGTGATCCGTGCAGCAGTGGGAGCTGGCACACTTGTCATCGCCATATCTGAAGCAGGACATGTGCATGTTCACATCCTTGCCCAAGCCTTCACATTTGTCCTGGTTGGTCTCGTGCGAGCACATCATCATTTCGTGGTCATCATCATCATCATCGTCACCGTGGCTATCCATGCAACAATGAGTGGTGGAACACTTGTCATCGCCACTCATGTTGCAGCCTTGACTGGTGTTGATCATCTTGTTCATGCCCTCGCACTTGCCCTCATTGTTGGACTTCGAACACATGTGTTCCATGGGTTTTGGCGAAGCAGCCATGACCGTGGCTGATGCGGCGGCCAAAAGAAGTGCAGAGCTGTAAAACTTCATGTTGTTAAAAGTAACTATTTGTTTTCGGAATCCAAATGAGATACTGTGAGATGTGAGACGCTCAATGGACACTATTTATACCGCGAGGATTTATTCACAATGCCGCACAGAATTGCAAACTTACACACGTAACTTTTTTATTAAGTTTATTTTATTGCAACAGATTTAAAACGACTACAACAGGCCCCTGCGTAACTCCTAAAAGTTCGTATTTAGTTCGTCAAAAACAGTACCTTTACCTTACCTCAGAAAAAGGAGTTTTTTTTAAATCAACCTCAAATGCATTGCATGGATGGCAGTGTCATTGTCATATCTTGACTGATTATTGGATTGGATTTTGACATAGGATGATCGCGATCCTATTCAATTATTTCGGACATAAATATTTGGCCAGTGCACATGCATGTAAGATTTGCAATTATCGCCTTCATCACATAGCGCCTCCGTCACATGCTGCATTTAGACCTTCACTCTGAGAGTCTAGACTTTAAGAGATGCAGGCAGGGTGATCCCCGCATAAATGTTTTCATAGTTCAGAGTCACTGCAGTCTGCACTTAAAAAAAAGGCCTATTATTTGCCTGAGGCTCTATGCTGCGAAGGCGTTGTATTTTCTAAAATTTATACACTCAACTCACTCACACACACACTCTCTCTCTCGTAAAGCACCGCGTGTACAGTGTAAAAACTAAAATATACACTTTATTGTCTGTACATACTTCTGTAAATATTGTACAAGATAAAGTTGCACTGTTACGCTTTACAGTCTACACTCTACTAGTCTCTAATGAGGTCAGAGGATGGTAAATAATATGAAATTTTGGTCTCTTGCGTTTCTTGGAGTTCTCCCTTTATCTGCCGTCCACTAAAAACCAATCAGGAAAAAAAATCAAATCCAAGAAATTCATGATCATTGATCATTGATGGACAAATATTAGAATACTAAACATGTATTTATCACTCTCCCATTACTCTACTAGTGAGTAGTGAGTAGAAAAGAGAACATCAAAACAATCATACTGTTCAAAATAGTGGTCATTGACGAATGAAGAATTGAGTGATGAGTGAGCACTTCTAATTGTTGTAAAGCAATCAATCACACAAACACTCAAAACGGCTATTTATAAAAAAACCCCCGCAGAAAACTGTCACTAAAAAATTAAAAAGTAAAAAGTAAAAACGCCAGTTGTCACTTGTCACTTGTCAGTTCAAACTATTTAGTATTTACATAATAATAAAACGCTAGTCGCCGACTCAGCCTGCCAGCAGTGCCAAGCCCCAACTGCCAGTGCCAGATCACCAACACTATTTACATAACAGACCAACTCTGAGCAACTCTGAGGCCTGAGCTCTCCCTGTCTGAGGACTGAGCGTCGTCATGAGAGCCCTCTCTGACTCTATTTTATTTTTATGTTGTTTTTAAAAAAGAAAAGAAAAACCAAACAAATACTTTTTTATAAAATCTTTTATTTATGGATCTTTGCATAGCCTTCTAAAAAGAACATCTTAAGCTAGTAGAGAGTAGAGACTATTTACTCACAGTCTAAAATATTTAATTTCCGAATAAATAATATATAATACAAATGCTGAAATACATACATGCGAATGTTTCGAAAACAAAAAAAAACAAAATACACATTATTTCACTAAGTATTTAGTATGAATTTATTTCAATATTTGGTAAAACATGGAGTACATATGTCCTATGGGGGGTTTGTTTTACAAAAAACCAAAAACTAAATATACTATCTGACAGTATTCATATCAACAAGACAAGAACTGCTCAGGAATGCACAGATTCTGATGTAACTAATGTACTAAAAATGATCATATATATCTGCTTATGTCTAGTTGTCTACTCCTTACTCACTTAAGCTTTCTGCATTTCCGTTATAGAAGGTATGTCCGTGTAACATGAATGCCTACCTTCGGCCTCGGGTCAGCAGTCGTAAATTCTTAAAATTCACACAAGGGCAAATAAAATGGTGGCAGTTGAATCATTTGACATGTGGCAGTGCCGCGGTGTTATACTACTGTATATAACTATATGTAAACCAAAATAGTGCAATAGGTTGGTCTGTGCCAAAATCCCACCCAATCATCAGAAGGTATGAAGTATGATATTGCCATGCACGAATTTATGTCTTCTAAAGTTCTAATAGTCGACCCTACTTCCTAATACGGTGGGCTAAAGTGTTTTTTTCTATAATAAAACTCCTCAACGCTGTTGTGGCGATCTCGATCAGATGAATATTAGGT